AGTGAACGAACAAGGCGGCTGCCATCGACGGAGGCTGAGTGACGTCATCCGGAGGCACGCAGAGCCGAAAAGGACATGGTCGGGCTGAGGACGACGTCGCCGGCGTTGCCTACACCCCCTCCCGTCTGCCTGAGCACCGGACATCGTGCAGCCAGAAGAAGCCGAGCCGAGGAATGCTTTCACCAGGGTGTCGGTAGGGAATCCCCCTCCCCCTTGTACCAATGTGTGGCCATAGTTAGGGTCGATATAGGTGATTAGCACCCAAGAACTGTAAACCGCCCAGAGACCCCTACGGGGGTTAGGGCGGTATATCAAGCCGAAGGATAAATATAAAAATAACCACCCCCCCAGGCTCCACCCCCCAAAAAAATCTCCAGGTATTTTCCAGCCCAGAGCTGGCAACCTTACACCTTTGGAATTCTGACACAGCAGGGTGGATGTCACCACAAAATGGCGGCCAGGGGCAGTGGAACCAGCCACAAAAGGGTTGCCCCAGCTGACCTTTAGTGACAAAGTGAAGACCCTTGTGTTGTGGTGGCACCTGTTGCCAATGCAAGATTTTAAAAAATCTGCATAGCCAGCCAAATCTCCAGTGGCCAACTGAAGGACTTGTGGGCAAAATCCCCACCTGGCTCCACCCATCTTTCTCAAAACGGTTGGTGGGTACCAGAAGAGGTTTTGGCGGGTGCCACGGCACCCACAGGCACAACATTGGGGACCCCCTAAGGTAGAGGTTCTGACCTTGTCAGGGAATGGCCTTCTTTGGAGGGCTCCACGTTCTCAGTCATGGGTATCACCAGGGCTTTTTTTGTAGAAAAAGCCCAGCAGGAACTCATTAGCATAATAGGCCACACCCAACAGCAGAAACTCATTAGCATATTAGGCCACACCCCTGACAATACAGCTCATTAGCATAATAGGCCACACCCCATGCCTTCCTTTTGCTTGCCTGGGCAAGCCCCCCCCTTTAAATGCTTGCCCGGGTCCCCCGTGGCTGTGAGGAGCCAGGGTAAGCCGGCCCTTGGAGGGGAGAGGAGGCAGTTTAAACTGCCTTCCCTTCCCTTGGGTCTAGTGGGTGTGGCCAATTCTGAAGCCACAGCTGTGCGTTCCTGCCCAAAAATAGCCCTGGACCGTATTGCTATTCGGTGGCCCAGCACTTCCGCTGCAAAACTGTTAAGCGACCTCAGGGCCGGAGGAAAAGTCTGCCCAGGCCAGATGTGATCTGCAAGCCATGATTTGCACATCTCCGATCTACAAGCCTTCAGTCTGATTTCCAGGGTCATTCCTTTTGTGCAGGTAATGCTGCCATCTTGTGACGAAACTTTGTCGTTGCTTTTGGTATTCATCCATGCTGAGATGGGCACCATCAGAGAGTCGTTTAGACAAACGTCCCTGCCCTAAACGTAAGTAGTTTTTAATTAAGAAGAAGAAGTGAGAATCTGCAACAAGATGCTGTTAATGGTTTTAGGTTGCTCTTTATTTACTTCTGAAATCCACCTTCAGTGGAATGAATGTGGAATTCACTGCCAGAGGATGTTGTGATGGCCACAGGAATAAACAGCATTAAAGGGGGATTAGACAGATTCATGGAGGATACGTCTATCAATAGCTACTAACTATGGTGACTGAGGGGAGCCTCCAACATTCAGAGGCACTGACCCCCTGAATCCCAGAGCCTGGAGGCAACGTCAGGGGAAGGCCTCGGCCTCTCTGCCCTGTTGTTGGCCATTGGCTGGCCACCATGTGAGACAGCATGCTGGACTAAATGGGTCTCCTGGTTTGATACAGCAGGGCTCTTCTCATGCTCTTATGGAACCTGGATGTGAGTTATGGGTTGATGAGGGCTAGTTAAAAACAAAAAAACATGACATTTGGTTTAAAATTCCCAATTGTGGGACTTAATTCCTATTCTCCTCATTCCACTCTTCGTTTTCTTCCTTTCTTACAATTGTACAACTCTTCCACACCTGTTTCCACTTGAAACCCAAGCAAATTTCTACATTTCTAATCCATTTCCTGTTCATATGGATTCCCAGCAGAGGGGCTGATCAGCTGCCCATAACATGGGATGCTCCATAGACACATAATAAATGACTGGCTGTTACTTACTAGTGACAATAGATACTCTCTCAGCCTAACTTACCTCACAGGGTGGTTGTGAAGGTCAAATGGAGGAAAGATGAATGACGTAAGCCACTCTGGGTCCCCATTAGAAGAGGAGGAGATTGGATTTATACCCTGCCCTTCAGTACCCGAAGGAGTCTCAGAGTGGCTTACAATCCCGTTCCCTTCCCCTCCCCTCCCGACAACAGACACCCTGTACGGTAGATGGGGCTGAGAGCTCTCGAGAACTGCCCTTGAGAGAACAGCTCTGAGAGAACTTGTGACTGACCCAAGGTCACGCCAGCAGCTGCATGGGGAGGAGTGGGGACTCAGACCCGGTTCTCCCGGATTAGAGGCCGCGCTCCTAACCACCACCCCAAACTGGCTCTCCCAGCAGGGGGAGGCCGACCTTCACAAAGGAGGACTCATCCACCCTTTCTGGATTGAGATGCGAGCGGTGGGAGTTCAGGATGTCTCCCAGGTGGGAGAACACCTGCCCACTCTTGACACTGGTGGGTGAGCAGGAGAGGAGGCCCATGGCCACACAGGACAGGTCAGGCCAGATGTCAGCCTTTCGTGCCCAGGATTCCAGGGGACTGGAGTCAGGGGGCTCTGTGGGCTTGCCAAGGTACTCCCGCACCATCACCTCCGCGAGTCCTCGCCCACAGCAGCACCGCCAACCTCCCAGCGGAGCATCGAGGACCAGTACAGATCCCTCAGATTCACGTCCTTGGGGGGGGCTGAGGTGCTGGGCTGCCCCTCCTCCTCCGCCACCCCGTTCCCTCTGGCCAGCAGGCTCAGCTCGCATCCCCTGGACCTCCTTGAAGAGATCCTGCCTCCACTGCGGGAGCTGTGCGTTGCGTCTGGCGAAGCTGCCCTCACACAGGGGTCTGAGATGCAGGCGATTCTGTAGACCCCCGTTGGCAGAGAGGATGCGACCGAGTGGCCACGCCCGCCCGCGGCCTCACCACCAAGGGCCTAGCCCTGGGGAGAAGAGCCACCTCCTGGCCTCCAGCGTGGAGGTCAGCGCCAGGTCCGCTGCGCAGACGAGGGGGGTGGCTTGCCCCAGGTTGGCCATATACGAACAGAGCACCTCTGCGGTGTGCTGGAAAGGCTTCAGAATGTGCTCCGTTTGAGAGACGGCCACTAAGCCATTCGGGCGAATGCTCCGCTCCTCACCCCCATGCAGGACGGGCGTGGGCAAGAGGACGTCCCGCACGGCAGCCTTCTGCTCCACCAGACATGCGATCGTCGCGCAGGTGGAGTTTCAGCTGGCCCAAGAGGAGCATGTGCTTGGCCCCCTGCCTCTCGTGCAGCTGGCAAGCAGACGTTAAGCTGCTCGCGAAGTGGGCAGCCAGGCGCCGGCAGGTCTCCAGCAAGGCGTGCGTCTTCAGCACGCGCTCGTCCCAGTTCAGCCCGATGGTTCTCCCCAGCTCAAGAACATCCACCTGAACCAGGCGCAGGGTGTGCACAAGGAGTGCATGAGGCACACGGTGCTCTTGAGCCCTGCAGCCTTCCCCCCCCCCCAGCATGTTGGGAGCGGCGTGGGTGACCACGCTGCCACAGATGAATTGATGCATGGGCACCCACTCCCTTAGGGTCTTGCACAGGACAGCAGCAATCGGCATGGAGAAGGATCACCCCGTAGCCCGGTGGTGGGACTCCCCCCTCCACCCAGTTTGGTGACGTGGTTAAGTGCGCAGACTCTAATCTGGGAGAACCGGGTTTGATTCCCCACTCCTCCACTTGCACCTGGCTGGATGACCTTGGGCAAGCCATAACTCTGGCACAGCTGTTCTTGAAAAAGAGCAGTTTCTGTCAAGAGCTCTCGCAGCCCCACCTACCTCACAGGGTGTCTGTTGTGGGGAGTGGGAAGGGAAAGGAGTTTGTAAGCCGCTCCGAGACTCCCTTGGGTAGTGAAGGGCGGGGTATAAATCCAATCTCCTCCTCCTCCTTATACCCCATAGGGATGCCAACCTCCAGGTGGGACCTGAGGATCCCCTGGAATTACAGCTCATCTCCAGACTACAGATATAGATTCCTCTGAAAAAAGGGCTGCTTTGTAGGATGGACTCAATGGCACTGTACCCCACTGAGGTGCCTCTCCTGCCCAGGCTCCACCCCCAAATCTCCAGGAGTTTCCTAGCCTGGAGTGGGCAACCCTAAATCTTCTTGAGAGCAAGTTTGGTGTAGGGGTTAAGTGCGCGGACTCTAATCTGGGAGGACCGGGTTTGACTCCCCCACTCCTCCACTCGCACCTGGCTGGATGACCTTGGGCAAGCCGTAGCTCTGATAAGAGCTGTTCTTGAAAAAGAGCCGTTTCTGTCAGAGCTCTCTCAGCCCCGCCTACCTCACAGGGTGTCTGTTCTGGGGAGGGGAAGGGAAAGGAGTTTGTAAGCCGCTCTGAGACACCTTTGGGTAGTGAAGGGCGGGGTATAAATCCAATCTCCTCTTTTTCTTCTTCTTGAAAAAGAGTAGTTTTTGTCAGAGCTCTCCCAGCCCCACCTACCTCACAGGGTGTCTGTTGTGGGGAGGGGAAGGGAGAGGAGTTTGTAAGCCGCTCTGAGACTCCTTTGGGTAGTGAAGGGCGGGGTATAAATCCAATCTCTTCTTCTCCCAGCGCCCTGGTGTTGCCCTGGCATCCCGGAGGGCCTCAGGTTGCCCCCAGTGGGCAGTGAGAGCTAGGTAGCCGTGTTTCCGGCTGCTCCAAAGGTCCACCGTGAAGTGCATGGTCTGCCCTCACACTTCTGACAACTGTGCCTTCACCAGCCCCACCAACAGAGTGGCAAGGAGGGCAGGACTTGGCGGGCGAATGTCCTCCAGCAGGGGACGGAGTATCATGGGGCGAGGTACTGCACCAGCCAGCGAAAGCCCATATGCTCCACCACAGAGAGGGGGTCCCCATCCAGTACAAGCGTCTCACCGATCAGCCGAGTGACAGTCTCCTTCTTCTGGCTCGGGGCGCGCTCCGTCCCTGCCAGCCCTTCCCCAAGCCGGATGCCACCTGTTCCCCCTCCCAAGGCAACAGAGTCTGGTGGGGTCTCTGTAGTTGCCCGGTGAAGGCGGAGGACAAATGTAGGGGAGGTTCAAGCCCCCCTGCACCCTGCGGTCACAGACCCGGCAGCGCGCCACATGGGGGTTGCTGGGGAGGTGGCGGAAGTGCTCTCAAACTGTTGGCCGAGGACGGGGAGCAGAAATTGGGGCAGTCTAGAGCAGTGTTCCCTCTAAGCTGAGCTCTCTCAGTTTTTTAGCCTTCTGGCTCACACACTTCTGTTTTAGCTCTGGAAGGATGGCTCCAGAGCAAACTAATTGATGCAGCAGCCAAATCGCTCGCTCACAACTTGAATGCCAGTAGCTCACAAAGCAGAATTTTTGCTCACAAGACTCCACAGCTTAGAGGGAGCCTTGGTCTAGAGGCTTGGCCACGGCGGCGTAATGCCAGGCTGGGAGGACTCACAGAGGCGTGGGGATGTGGAGATTCGGGATGTGGAGGAGCCAGATGTTTCCTCAGAGCCACCCTCAGACACTTCCCCCTCCCCAAAGAGTACGAGTGTCGGCTAGCTGCCATGTTTTGCTTGTTCCCTTCTCTGATCCTGGCTTGCTCGCTGCTCTGCCGCTTGCCGTAAACAGCGATAGGGAGACCGTGAGAACCAGTGCTGCCAGACGGCGTTATCTGTCTGGCCTTGTGAAGGGGGGGGGAGGGCTTGCGTTCCACTGCTGGTGTGAATCTTTCGGCTCTCATGAGGCACTGAGACTCTCCTGCTTATTTCCCGCCTGCGCGCTCGAGTTTCATTTGCTTAGCCATTTGCCTCATCCTGCTATATGTAGGGATGTTTCCGCCCCTTGGTTATTCCTAACAATAATCCTGTGGATATGGTACCAGTTTTGTAATCTAATAAAGCATAACGCTTCCTTGGAAACATGTGTAGAGGATTTACTTGCTGCTGAAACTGACGGAGAGCCACTGCTCTCTCCCCTCTGGCAACGCTAACAGCTGTTCTGCTCCCAACTCAATCCTAAAGAGCACATCAAGGAAAGGAGACACACACACACACACACACCCGATACAGTTGGGCGCTGGTGGGCTGGCAGGACGGGCTTCTTCCACAGGGATGTGGGCCTGCAGGATGGGGCGTGTAGGCTTCCCCCCCCCCTTGACGAGTACCCTTGGCTTTCACCCTTCATGGTGCAGACGGGTGGCACAGGGAGACCACCAGACTACACCTTCCCAGTCAGGAGAGGTGCTGAGAACTCACACTCGCGGGTGAGGTTGTGGGTCCTCGGGCGAGGAGCCCAGTAGCTTGTCCCCTGTGCCTGGCTGTGGCTGAGGGACCAAGAGTTGAGGGACCAAGAGTGGCTCAGAGCCCCGAGACCACCAAACACCATCCTAGCTGGGAGAGGTGCTGGGAAATATCGCCCCCCCAGGGGTGAGGTTGGGAGTCCTCTCTGACTGCAGCAGAGAGACAGTCCCCCTCACAGCCCTGGAGAAACAGCACAGCAGTGGACACGATAAATCTCTGCCTCGAGTAAGTCCCTCTCTGGCTAAACCTGAGGCAAACTGAAACCAACCGAGTGTGGCTTATCTACATAATACATCTCCTCAGAATGGGGCTCTCTCTGGTCGGCAGCCAGAACAGCCTATCAAGCTTTGGAGGGCTGAGATTGATGCTTTCTTAGGGGCATGAGAGCGTTCCTCCCCGCACCCCCTGTATTGCCATGGCTCCCGCCAAAACAATCTTTAGCTACAAACTGATTGACCGGCGACAGGTGTGTGGCTGAGGCGGGGGCACGACCAGACTCGAAAACCAGGTGCGTTCATCGGTGGGTCAAGTTTGGTGTAGTGTTTAAGAGCGCGGACTCTGATCTGGGAGAACCGGGTTTGATTCCCCACTCCTCCATGTGCGGCAGCTGGGTGACCTTGGGTCAGTCATAAGTTCTCTCAGAGCTGTTCTCTCAAAAGCAGTCCTTGAAAGAGCTCTCTCAGCCCCACCTACCTCACAGGGTGTCTGTTGTGTGGAGGAGAAGGAAAAGGAGACTGTAAGCCGCTCTAAGACTCCTTTGGGTAGTGAAGGGCGGGGTATCAATCCAGTCTCTTCTCTTCTTCAGGGACCATACAACAAAATTTGTTTCATTCTTTGGTTCATGCCCGTCCCTAGGCATAACTCTAGATGCACTGCCCAGAGATCCTTAGGAAGACATTATTAAACACAGTCCCATCCCAATACCTTTTAGATCCCACCAATAGGTTAGTATTGATTAAAAGAAAGAAAAAAATGAGGAGGAAGCTGGGTTCAGTTCTCTGCTCTGCAGTGAAGCTTATCTGCTGACCCTGGGCCCTGGTCTACAAACTGGGGTTAGGCTCAATAGCCAACTATTATTTCCACTAAGTAAAGGTTTCCCTTGCTCGAAAGCCAGTCGAATCCGACTCTAGGGATGCGGTGCTCATCTCCGTTTCCAAGCCAAAGAGCCAGTGCTGTCTAAAGACATTTCCGTGGTCATGTGGCCGGCATGCCTAGATGCCGAGGCGCACGGAACGCTGTCACCTTCCCACCGAAGCGGTACCTATTTATCGACGTGCTATTTCTTACATTCGAGCTGCTAGGTTGGCCGGAGCTGGGACCAGAGACGGGAGCTCACTCCGTCACGCGGCACACTCGGGTCTCGAACTGCTGAACTTACCGATCTTCCAGTCTGCAGTTCAGCGTCTTAACCACTTGAGCCACCCGGCAGCCCATTCTTTCCACTAGCCGGCTGTAAATTATAATACTGGAGGTAGAAAGTGCCGTCAAGAGCCGCAAATTTACAGGGACCCTGTACATTTTTCAAGGCAAGAGACGGTCAGAGGTGTTCTTGCCATTGCCTGCCTCCACACACCGTCCCCAGACTTCCTTGGTGGTTTCCCATCCAAGTACTAACCAGGGCTGACTATGCTTAGTTTCTGAGATCTGAGAAGATTGGGCTAGCCTGTCTGTCCAGGCAATATATCAGTAACAAATATATACAAGGGGAACCAGCAATTCAAAACAGTACAATAATAATCCCCTGGAGAAAATGGCTGCTTTGAAGGGGGGACTCTGTGGCATTGGACCATGCTGAGGCCCCTCCCCTCCCCAAACTCCGCCCTCTCCTGGATCCACCCGCAAAGTCTCCAGGTATTTTCCAATCCAGACCTGGCAGCCCTAGGTAACAGCGTTCCATGCGCCTCAGTTTGGACAGTGCCAGCTCTTCGGCTTGGAAACAGATGAGCACCAACCCCTAGAGTTGAATTTGATTAGCTTTTGAGCAACAGCAACAAAATCACAAAATAACTTTGTAATAATTTGCTTCTAAGGTCTGGGGCACCAGTAACCAGAGTCCACCAATCACGAGATAGGTTGGGGAAGAGGTGCTCCCTCCAACCTGACCTTTCACTTCTTCAGCCGGTCAGCTAAATAAATCCAAGTTGCCACTGAAACAATGTCATTTTGAACGGCATAACCAATCAGATCTTCAGTGGCCAGAAAGATGCTGGCGGGTACCACGTTGGGGACCCCTGTTCTAACATGATGTGTTAGCACAGCAGCGTGACTCTTGCAGTTCCTCTTGTCAACGTTTCCTTTAATACTGCACTGCTATTTCTTTAAGCTTTTCTAAACTTAAAAAGTGGCCCGTGATGCTTTGGATGGAGAAATGCAGTCTGCAAAAAGAGAGGCTGATTTTCAGTCCAGTGCTCACATTTCCTGGAGCTACGCATCTGGAAACCAAACAGGCCGATTTTAAAAGGAATTTCCAGTCTTTTACTGCAGGGTACCTAAACACTTGCCAGGGTACAAATAGAGCTATTTATTCTTGAGACAAGCAGGCATATAGGTTTGTTTTAAATAGCACCACTCTCTGTTAATGAGATCTGCCATCCAAATGCAACCCTCTAAATACTAGCGTTTTGTTTGACACTTTACTACAAATAGTCTCTTCTTCCAGAGATGATGTAGATCCCCCTCTAAGTCTGGGAGTTCTACGTCCGAATTTTTTCCCCATTCAGCACAGGCCTTACCTGAACCTTTTTCACTAGCCCCTTCTTCTTCTGTTTGCAGTCGCTGAAGTTCTCTGGGAAAGCCTGCAACAAAACAAATGAAACCGCAACCCTGCTTAGTCTTGAAAGAAGCAGAGGGAGGCCTGTACCCAAATTCACACTGAAATGTTCTGTCAGGTCACAATATTTGCAGCCCACTGTGGGCACTCCATGGGGATGATTAGCAAAACAGAGTCAACTGTATAATCTTAATTCACTAAATAATCAGTTCAAGGGCCCAGCTAGCAGTCTCCACAAGCTACTGTACAGCAGTACAGGAAGCTGCCTCAAAGGAGGACTGCCATTTGTTTGGATTCATTACTACATGCATCGTCTAGACCCAGAGGATTTACAGAGGCGATGCGGCGGCAGCATGCAGCAGCAGCAGGTCCAGAGGAGTGATCCCTGGTGGCCAGCAGCAGGAACATTTTTGTTTTTTTTGGTGGGGCTTGAGTGTTGCAGTAAGAAATAAATAAATAAACCCAGCTCCCCGCAGTCTTCTCACCCCTACCACTCCTTGGCTGTAATTTCTCTTTAAGAAGCTTTTACAGGAGAAAATCTTGTGGGGCTGTCCCTTTAAGAAAGGGGGCGGAGTCCCGAGTAGCCCTACCGTAGCTACGGGCCCGTCTTAGCCTAACCTTCCCCGCAGGAGTGTTGTGAGGACAAAACAGAGCAGAGAACCAGGTACGTCAGCGTGAGATCTTGAGAAGAGGGAGATAAAGCTGTCACAGAAGCCCACCTTGTTCCTGAATAATCAGACACGATCCCCTTCTCCACATCTGATGGCTCAACTTCTGCTGACATGTCATTGCAGCCAGAGCGGGCCTTGAATGGCACACTCGCACATATCCCTCTCTGAAAATGGCCCCTGAGCCTGTTCAAAAGGAGACAGTGACACTCGCGTTGTCCAAAAAAACTGCTTTTTAATAGGATTTTCCCTTAAATAAACAGTATGATTATCAGCAGCCTCAGGACCTGGATTTTCTCTCGATACTAAACTCCCACTGACCGGATGACACATGATGAACCCTACCCTCTCCCTGTCCCAACAAACTTACCCCTTCAGGGTTTTTTAAAATTTATTTCAAACCTTCTTATGAATTCAGTTCTAGGCACAAATCTACTGGAATCCGTTCACGGTTACTGACCAACGTCACAATGGGGGCCTACGTCAAAAACACCAAACAAATCCAACACAAACCGCTTCCGATCGGGCTCGGGGCCAAAATGAAACCACCCAGCTCACCCCACCCCCACCCCACGCCTCTTGCCACGCGGCTGCCAAGCCACATTAGAAGCTAACTCTGCTTTTAGCGTTGGTGACAGCGGCGGGACGTTGGGCCCTCGTCCGTGGCCTAGCCTTCTGCAAGCTCTGCAGAAGCCTCTCTCGGAAGAAGCCGCTGCGGTATTCGAGTCCGCTCAGGTGTCTTAAAGCCAAGGGCACGTCGTCACGGCCGACGTCCACGTAAACTGGGATTACTTTGGTTCCCTCCTGCTGTATCGTGCGAAGAAGGTTCCACTCCGCCACACGCTGGCACCAAGGGTCGGCTACCGAGCGGGCCGTCAGGAGGACGATGGCCACTCGGCTGGTCTCGACGACCTCGGCTACCGAAGCGACGACGGACCTCCCCGCCACTTGATCCTGATGCTCGATATAACCGCGGAAACCTTGCTGCGTGAGGATCTCGCCAATGGAGGTGGCAATGGGGTCGTCTTCCAGGAGGTACCAGAGGGAGAAGTCATAGAGGAATTTGCAGGACAGTGGGGACGTCACAGCCATTGCTGCCGCTGCCAGAGTCTTCAGCCAACCCAGAAAGCTCCCCCTCCCCCCCCAACCGAGTTCACTTGTCCGAGTCTGAAAGGCGAGAAACTTTGGGAAATTCAGGTTCGTTTTTTCAACAGAGGCATTTTGTTTTAAGTCTGTGCAAAAAGGGGGGGGAGGGGAGAGGCGCCACGAAGGACCCGCGCGGTACTGAGAGCGAACGCCATGAATGTGAAAACCGGAACAGCCTCTCTATGCAGTCCTGCGTCTCACGGGTGAACATGGCTAGGACGTTTCGGCCTTCACGGGACTCGCAGAAGCGGCTGAATTCGGGCACATCGTCACAGAAGGGGGGGGGAACACACAGTGTCGCGATGTGTAGCTTACGCATGCGTGAGATTCGGAAAGAATGTACAATTGTCACACAGGTCCGTAGCTCAAGCCCATGGCGACTGAGAGGCGCCCCTCTCCGAATGCTGGCCTCCCACCTTATCTCCCGCCCGGACGGCTTCGGGGTCTTCACAAGGCCCTCTGCTTCATCTCCAGGATGCCCTGTTCCAGAGTAGCACCGGCCAGTTTCAGCTCCTCGCATTTCTCCTTGAGCAGGCTGCAGGCCTTCTGCAAGCGATGGTTCATCTCCACGTAGGACTGGGTCAGCCGATAGAGGCGCTCCCGCTTGGCCTCCGGGTCTTCGTTCTTGGCCGGAACGGGCAAGTCTGAGCAGAGCGATACAAGGAAGTGGGGGGGGGGGGGGGGGAGGAAAAAGGAAAGAGAACTCAGTGGAGACATCAGCAGATCTGCTGTATGTTCAGTAATACATGCTAGAGGTTCACAAAATCATGCACGGGATAAAAAAGGCAGAAAAATGTATTGATTTATTCATTAAATTAGATTTCTTAACCGCCCATCCCTGCTAGCGTGGGGCTCAGGGCGGTCTACAACAATTAACACATTATACAATCGATGAAAACCATAAAAATTCCAATATTAAAAACATTCAGAAACATTTAAACATTGAAAACATTTTAAAACAAGGCGGCAGTGCCAGCATTCAGTCGCGGGGGGGAGGGGTGGGGTGCCAGGCAGATGTAAGGAACCGTCGCTGGCTTCAACCAAAGGCCTGGAGAAAGATCTCTGCCCTGTATGCCCTGTGAAGCTTTAATAGGTCGAGCAGGGCACAGATGCCAGTCAGCGGAGAGTTCCAACAGGTTGGGGCCAGGGCAGAAAGGGCCCTGGTTCGAAGCCAGCCGGATATCTTTGGGGCCGAGGAGAACTGGGCGAAAGAACTGTGTATTGTGATAAAGATCCCTTTCTCCCAATACAAGAACTCGTGGGCACTCAATGAACTGAATGAGCAGTACGGCTTACAGAAAAGATAAAAGGAAGTCCTTCAACCAAAGAGTCCTTCAACCAGGAAGTGGTGGCGGCCAATGCTCCCTCTAAGCTGTGGAGTCTTGTGAGCAAAAATTCTGCTTTGTGAGCTTGTCGTGATCTGGGCTGTGCCACCAGAGGCCTACTAGGCCCAGGGAGCCTGGCTAGCAGTAGGTGAGGCTGGGCCTACAACTCCCAGAAGCCGCTGAGAGGCTTTGGAGTCAAAATTGACCAATAGAAGAAAGAGGAAGGCTTGGAGTAAAAGATCTGGAGCAGCAGGAAAAGCAGGAGACAGAGCCAGAAGGGACTGAGGCTGCTGTGGGGGAGAGACCCTCATCCTGAGGAAAGGGTGAGTAGTCTAGTGCCACTTGGAATAGTGAGCTAGGGACAGTATATATTTAGACACGTTAGGGCATTTGGTTTCTTTTCTTTTCACCCACTTACTGTTATTATTCTGCACCTTGTTGTTTGACCTCCTATACAATAAACTATTTTCACTGTTCACTCTGCCTGACTCCTCACGCCTATTATTCAGCCAAAAGGGAGGTCAGAAGGTTTTGGGAGGGTGTTCTGGGCCTTCTCAAGGGAGCCTGGAACCAGAGTGGTGGCAGCATCAGGTGACACCTCACCTGAGCCGTGACAGAGCTACTGACATTAAAGTGGTGAGCGAGCGATTTGGCTGCTGCATCAAATAGTTTACTCTGGACTCTGGAGCCATCCTTCTCGAGCTAAGACAAAAATCTGTGAGCTCACACTAACTCAACTTAGAGGGAGCACTGGTGGTGGCTGCTACAAGCAGAGACAGCTTCAAGAGGGGATTGGATAAACATATGGAGCAGACGTCCATAAGCTGCTATTAGCCACAAGGTATAGATGGAACGCTCAAGTCTGGAACAGTGATGCTCTGTATTCTTGGTGCTTGGGGGGCAATAGTGGAAGGGCTTCTGGAATTCTGGCCCCGCTGGTGGACCTCCTGATGGCACCTGGGTTTGGGCCACTGTGTGACACAGAGCGTTGGGCTGGATGGGCCATTGGCTTGATTCAACAGGGTTTCTCTTATGTTCTTACGTCTGGGGCAGTGGTGCTCTGTATTCTTGGTGCTCGGAGGGCAACAGCGCGAGGGCTTCTGGAGTTCTGGCCCTGCTGGTGGACCTCCTGATGGCACCTGGGTTTGGGCCCCTGTTGGACTCGATGGGCCCATTGGCTTGATCCAACATGGCTTCTCTTCTGTTCTTAAGAGTGTTGACATCAGGGCCAACTCAGGGTCTCCCCAGGCAACCAGGCTGTTCACCGTGGGAGACTCATCAGCACCCCTGGCCCTTGCGTCGCTCTGAGAGGCGAGGGCAGGCCGCAGCCCCTCCTCCCAAGCCACCACCAGCACCGAGCAAGATGGTGGATCGGCACCCTCTTTTCACGGGGGGTCTGAACTAGGGCAGCCAACCTCCAGACGGGGCCTGTTTCGGAGGGCATCCATGTTGGTCTGCAGTAGAGCGGCCAGACTTGAGTCCCGTCACACCGTCGAGACCAGCAGGATTTTGGGGGCAGAAGCTTCTGAGTGCCAGAGCTTCCTTTGAATCTGGAGAAGCTGACGAAGGGAGCTTTGACTCTCAAAAGCTTATACCCTGAGATCTCATTGGCCTCTAAGGTGCTCTAAGGAGAGCAGATTTGGTGTAGTGGTGAAGTGCGCGGGCTCTAATCTGGGAGAACCGGGTTTGATTCCCCACTCCTCCACTTGCACCTGTTGGTGTGACCTTGGGTCAGTCACAAGTTCTTTCGGAGCTGTTCTCTCAAGAGCAGTCCTCTCGAAGCTCTCTCAGCCCCACCCACCTCACAGGGTGTCTGTTGTGGGGAGGGGAAGGGAAAGGAGTTTGTAAACTGCTCTGACACTCCCAAGTGAAGGGCGGGGTATAAATCCAATCTCTTCTCTTCTTCTTCTACTGGGCTTGAATCCAGGTGGAGCCTGGAAGTACAGCTGATCTCTGGACTACAAAGATCAGTCCCCCTGGAGAACAGGGCAGTGTCAAAGGGGGGGGGAGGCTCTTTGGCCTCCCCTCCCCACACTCTGTCAGTTTGGTGCAGTGGTTAGGAGCGTCGGACTCTAATCTGGGACGACCGGGTTTGATTCCCCACTCCTCCACATGCAGCTGCTGGAGTGACCTTGGGTCAGTCACAAGTTCGTTGAGAGCTGTTGAGAGCTGTTCTCTCAAGAGCAGTTTCTGTCAAGAGGTCTCTCAGCCCCGCCTACCTCACAGGGTGTCTGTGGTGGGGAGGGGAAGGGGAAGGAGATTGTAAACCGCTCTGAGACTCCTTCGGGTAGTGAAGGGCGGGGTATAAATCCAATCTTCTCTCTTCTCTCTCTCTGTCCTCCCCCAGGTACCATCCCTCAAATCTCCAGAAATCTCCCAAGCAGAGTTGGCAAGCAGAGAGCCAGTTAGGTGTAGTGGTTAAGTGCGCGGACTCTAATCTGGGAGGACCGGGTTTGATTCCCCACTCCTCCACTTGCACCTGGCTGGATGACCTTGGGCAAGCCATAGTTCTGATAAGAGCTGTTCTTGAAAAAGAGCAGTTTCTGTCAAGAGGTCTCTCAGCCCCACCTACCTCCCAGGGTGTTTGTTGTGGGGAGGGGGAGGGAAAGGAGTTTGTAAGCCGCTCTGAGACACCTTTGGGTAGTGAAGGGCAGGGTATAAATCCAATCTCTTCTTCTTCTTCTTGTTTGAAGCAGCTCTGGATGACATTTCCGTGGCAAAATAAGCCTGTCCTGCTTCATGGAGAACGGCACGGCTCCAAGGAATGGCTCGGCCATCTCATGGATCAATCCCGAGGCATAACGGGAGTGTTTTAATCAAGGAAACTGACATTAGGAGGGAGAACGAAGGCTGGCAGCCGCCAGTGGAAGGTCTTGTCTCAAGGGATGGTTTCAGAGGGCCGTCGCGTCGGTCTGCGGCACGAGAGCCAGATTTGAGTCCAGCAGCACCTTAGAGCCCAACGAGGTTTTTTGAGGCATGAGCCTTCAGGAGTCAACACTCTGTTATCTGATGAAGGGAGCTATGACTCTTGAAGGCTCACGTCCCCCAAAATCTCGATGGTCTTTAAGACTCAAATGTTGGCGTCTCAGAGATGGAAACTGGTAGAAGCAGACTGGGCGCGCATGATCTTAGAACCCCCAACCCCTCCCAGCAATTACTCAGCAAAGCTTGTGACGCAAAGATGAACGAAAGGCGACCCATATTCTGTTACCTTCACTGGGTTCCGCCAGGAGGACGAAGACTGGATCGTTGGGTTGGGCACGCTGGACATCCTCCAGGATCTGCTCAGTGTTGGGAGGTTCCGGGCGTGTGGGCAGCACCACTCGCTTCTTTGCCTTGGAGGTCATTGCTCAGGAACAGGTGCCGGCGGGGGGCACTGGGAGAAGAAAGAGGGGGCAACAGGGAAAGACGGGGGCAGGTTAAAGGGGTGTTCGGGAGAGCATTGCTCCTTCAAACAGCTTTAATTCCCAACAAGAACCAGGATGGATAAGATTTCATGACACCTCTGAACCTTCACATACTCCAACCAAGCCTCCAGGGAGAGGATATTCCAGAGTGTAGAGAACCCCAAATGGCAAGATTCCACGCTCTCCCTCAGCCACTGGCCCGTCAGCCGTCACTCAAGAGTAGTTGCGTGCCATTGGCCGGGTGCTGGGTCTGCTCCTCTTCCCCGCCCACTCCCCCTTCAGCCACTGTGCCCTGTCAGAATTACTGGCAAATGGCCTTCTCTCTTGACGAAGATGCTTTTCCTGTGTGCGACTAACTTTCCCTTCAGTGGCTGTTGGTAGGTGTCACGTTGGGGCTGGAGCACCTTCGCTATGAGGAAACACTGATGAGTCTGGGCCTTTCCCATTTAGAAGAGACATCTAATGGGGGGACATGAGAGAGGTTTATCAAATGATGCATGTGGTGGACAGAGTTGATAAAGCAAAATTTCTCTCCTTCTGCCAAGACAGTAGAACTCAAGGGCAACCAATGAAGCTGATGGGCAGTAGGTTTAGGATGGACCAAAGGAAATACTACTTTACATAGAGAGTGATTAAAATGTGGAATTCACTGCCAGAGGATGTAGTGACGGCCACAGGAATAAACAGCTTTAAATTGATTTACGGAGAATAAGTCAGGCTACTTGCCGTGGTGACTGAGGGGAACCTCCACATTCAGAGGCACTAATCCTCTGAATCCCAGAGCCAGGAGGCAACATCAGAGAAAGGCCCCGGCCTCTCTGCCCTGTTGTTGGCCCTCCAGAGGAACTAATTGGCCACTGTGTGAGACAGGATGCTAGACTAGATGGACTATTGATCTGATCCAGCAGGGCTCTTACGTTCTTGAGAGAGAAGAATGGATCTCCTAGATTATGTCAAACCCAATCTGTTTTAGTATGCAGATCCATAACGTGCTTAACAAGAATTTTAAGAACTTTGTGAGAAGATGAGTAAATTCTACAGCCTGTATAAATTGTGCAAACCACACACATTTTGATCTCTTTGCATTGTTTATTCTGCACTTGCTAGGCCCTGAAGCCTGAGCACCGAAAATCTCACCTCCCTCATCAACACCTGAATATTTCACTTGGCATTCCAATGCCTTCAGAGTCTATACCTGCAGCCTTAACGGCTAAAGCGTTGATTCTGGTTTATCTAAAATGAAAAGCAGCAGCTGAATTTGAGTCATGGAAAGATGACACCAAAGACTCTTTCACCAGCTACTGCTTGCAATTCACAAAACTGGAACAGACGGGAATCCCGATTTTCGTCAAGTTCCATGCAGTCTGAAATCCTGATAATTATACCATATTACATCTCTAATAGCAATTTTAGGAAGAAAAGTATGTTTGCTCTTAACTGCAAATGGCCCCCAGTAATCCCCAGTTTATTATGGTTTGGCAAATTCGGCCCAATCCCCCCCCCTTTATTCGGCCCAGTCCTCCCCCCCCATCAGCTTCCAAAAATCTATTTGCAATGGAGGGAGGGGCTTGAAAACACAGCTGAAAATGCCCTCTGTTTCTGTTGCAATCCTACTGCAGAAAGACTGGGAAGGCAATTAGTTTTTAATTATTGGGGAGAGCCCCCCCTATCCTAAGTGAATCAATTGCAGGGTTTTTGCATCTTCCAAATCCTTGATTTCAGCTTTACAGTGAGCAGTTTGTTTGGAGACGTGTGGGTGTCTCTACAATAATTTTTTACAATAACCAAAAGGCCAGGGGGGGGGGGGGAGAGAGAGAGTGTGTGTATATAACATGCATCTTCCCCACTTCCCAAGCCGGACAGCAGAGATAGCCCTTGTATCTGCAAAGGATTCCAGAATGTTCAGTGCGGGCTCTGCAGTCCTTCTAGCAACGGATGGCTATGCAACACGCATGCAGAAAGAGGATGTGGGGGGGGGGGAGATGCCATACAGCAGCACATCTATCGGTGCTGCAGATACCACACCCACCCCATTGCAAAGAGAGACACCCCCCCACACACACACACACACAAAACCTTCCCTTAAAAAAGGATACCCTCCGCTTTCCCCGCATATACCTGCCCCCTCCCATAGCTTAAGACCCGCAAACCAAACCGAAGTTCCTCCCTTACATCTGCACCACCAAGCCCCCC